AGTGACAGTTGTTGTTATACCTAGTGACAGTTGTTGTTATACCTAGTGACAGTTGTTGTTATACGTAGTGACAGTTGTTGTTATACCTAGTGACAATAATTAGAAATTAAGATTTATACAGCTGAAAGGATTTTGTTTAATTTCAGGGACAGGATTACAGAGGTTTCACTAATTCAACTTCAGATAATCATCTTCCTTCTGAAAATGTAAGTGCATTGTGTATCTGTTCTTATAAAAGTCATGAACAATTAGTGAAGATTCAAGCCAATCCATTTTTTATAATAATGATGATGATGATGATGAATATTTATAATTATAAAATAACTGTTATGAATGTCGYGTTCTGATTGGTTTGGAGCGCGTGCTTTATGAGAGCACATTGCAAGCGCGCGCACTTTCCGTTGCGTCATTCCTATTATTGTAATTTGTATTTTATAAAAGAAATAAAAAACTTGCTTGCAGTGCTGTGTGCAGTCATAAAGCACTTGGGGATTGGCAGAACACTCGAGAAGTGTCCAGAAGCACTCCGCTACGCGTCGTGCTTCTGCTAACACTTCTCTCGTGTTCTGCCAGCCCCCGCGTGCTTTATGACAGCACACAGCACGCGCGCGCGTTTTCTATTTCTTCAGGTGCTCATAGCGAGAAAGTTTTGAGCGCTGAGATACATAGGTAATATGTAGATAAATAAGATATATAGATAAATAAGCTACTTTTGAGGTTTTTGATATCTTGCTTATGAGATTTTTAATATATGTATACTACAACCTATATATATATATATCTTTATAAAATAACTGTTATTAATTTCGCCTTCTGTTTGAGAGCGCGTGCTTTATGAGAGCACACAGTACGCTCGCGCACTTTCAGTTGCGTCATTCCTATCCAAAATAACGGTTTTTGTAATTTGTATTTTATAAAAGAAATACAAAATTCTTTTGCTGTGCCTTGTGGAGTCATAAAGCACTTGAAGATTGACCGAATACTTGAGAAGTGTCGAGGAGCACTCCGCTACGCTCTCCTAACACCTCTCGTGTTCTGCCAACACCTGCGTGCTTTATAACCACACAATCTATATCCATATCTATATCCATATCCATGAAGATTTAACCTCAAAAACCTTATTTTTTTACAGGCCCCCTTTTGGACTTAACTTAATTCTCGAAGCTCTCCAAACAACCCATTTTTTGATTTTGAAATTGAGAGCCACCCTTGTATGCATGACGGATTTTTAGAGACCCCCTGTCATGCCTCAAAAACGTTTGGTACCCCCCACATATCTTCATCTTCCTCCCTCTCCCCCTCGGCCTATTAAATGAACTTTTCCTAATTTATTGTGTATGCTGTATGATCTATTTAAAGACTGCATTCTGTTACATTCAAAATTTCCCGAATAATTTTGAATTAGTCATTTATTTTAGTAGTTTGCAACATTAGCAGCTGGACAAAAACCCCGATCAGTTTACTCCGAACCTTTTACCGGGGTATTTGTCCGGATGTGACATTTATTAATACAAATTATGGCGGGTCACTTACATTGATGCTTTCGCATGTCCTATCAGTTACTGAATCGTTAGGTTATTCTTAATCTCTAGATCTGTAAAGGGAAAGCTGTAAGTTCGCTTATGAGCTATTCTGAAGCTGTACTTGTCGGAACTGAAGTACTGGATGAGTTAAATGATGAAGAAGCATCCTATATGGTAAGAAACAGATACGTTTGGGAGAGGGCCGATTGGATTGACATTGGAATATACCGTAAAATCCCTGTTATGAGCCCTGGACTTACACTCACTACGTACAATATACTCACCTATTCGTAAGGTTTTTACTTTGGAGAGGACTTACTCAGGAGACGGCGGGGGTGTCGGCAGGAAAAAGCGTTTGGAATAAAGTGGCAACAGTTATTTCGTTCTCTTATGTTTCCAGTCAGTCTTTTTAACTTTTATGCTTCACTACACCGAAATAAACACAACATTCCAGAGGTGGGCTTATAACCGGGATTTAAAGTATTTTCATAATTTGAGTTTGATTTGTTAGGAATGTTCTTACATGTGCAACATTTTTATTATCATTTAGTTGTGTCCTTTTGCTGCAATGGGAAAATGTACATTTGAAGTGTAAGTTATTATTGTTTATTTTAAAAAAATATGTAGGAGACTTCATTCAAGTAATAATTGCAGTCTTTATTCGAGGGCACTAGCACACCTAAAGTGCTTGGATTTTTGTATGTTTTCCCCCGAATGATTGAATCAAAAGATCGTTATACATGTGTTTACTTATCTTGTCTTGACTATCTTTTGGTTCCTTTACTGAAAAGTTGTTTAACTCCAAAGGTCAAATGTTATAAACTTAAATATGCCAGTTAGTAAAGGCCGTTGCGTACTTGGAGTCTGTGCGTATCAACAACAACAAGGCGACCGTGCGATGCTCTTTTCGTCCTCTGCCCTTGCTCTATTCAAGTAATAACTGAGTAACACGAAAAAAAAGAGTAACTGGTTGATCTGGAAATTGGAAAGCGGACGTACTCATTTCAATTTTTGCTTTTTGTGGATCAGACCAACGGTCCCTACTAACGGTACATGCATACTAATGTGAACTGAATACATTGTTTAAGATTTTTCTGTTGATCAAAGTACGAATTTGTCTTGGTCTTGGTCGTCGAACGTTCCGGGAGCAATGTTTTGACTACTTCTACCAATGAGAAAATGGTTGGGAGTGATTGGCCCTGGGTCTTGAGGGGGTAATCGGACGGCCGTTGAGTAGACTTTCTACCTCGACCATAAAGGTGTGGAGAACTTCATCGTTAACTAGTTTTCCATTCAGTGTGACGTTCAGAGCTTTCTTTTCAGACTTAACGAGTCTCTTACACACGCCTTYGAAGTATGGCGATGATGGAGGGCTAAAATGCTACTGGATTCTTTCCTGCAGACTTGAAAGGATTTCTTCTTCACGATCGCTCTTACTTGTGGGATCCTGTATTTCTGTCTTAGCACTGATATCACATGTCCAATGAACTGCTGCATGGTTTAAGCTCTTATGCAGGCTTGAAACGATAAGTTTACTATGCCGTGATTTCTTGGCAATATTATTGGGTGCTTCACTTTGTACGGTATAGGAGCGTGTTTGATTCTACCAGCTACACGTAGGACTTCTTCCTTGTCTAGAACTGGATTTAAAGATTTGAGAGAACTACGGTGACAATATCTCTCGACCTGTTTTGAGCTTTGTCATCTCATCTGAGTAAGCTTAATGAGGTATGCGCTGTCCTGACCCAGATTCTCGATCTCTTCTACAGTCAGCGGTCCTGAGATCACTGCGTGCTGCTTTAGTGCCGTTGGCAATTGTTTACATATCTTTGTATCAATGCGGCAACTCTCAACAGAGGAGGCAAGAGGATTAAGTTCTCTGGATTAATGAAATGTTCATCTTGACTGAAGGTGAAGGCACACCATATGTCTGTTACTTCCGCGCAACTCTCTTGTGAGGCTAAGACTGCTTTCTGCTCCGGCCAGTAAGTCTTGTTTCAGGAAACTTGGTCCGTAGATCCATCTGCTTTTGGCGTGCGGGAGCTAATCCTCGTAAAAAATCGTCAGCCGCATTCAGCTTACCAGGAACATGTCTCCAATTGCGTAGACTCGATGATTTTCTAATCTCAGCGACTCTGTGAAACCTTGCTCTTGTCTTGTTTAGGTACTGCAGCACCGTCATCGAGTTGGTCTAGCATATTATCTGATCCTTTTGTATACTGAGTTCTTTAGACAACTACCCTGCCGGCTAGGACGCCAGCTTGCAATCAAGCCTTGGAATTCRTTGTGAGTGGCTTTACTGGTGCCAGCCTGGCTTTACTGAACACAAAGGAGCAGCTAAATGTGCCATCAGTATACTCGTGTGGTTTGTAGGCTACCGCGACGAACGCGTCTTCGGATGCGTCAGCAAATACGTGTAGTTGAACATCAGCGACCTCCTTCGTGACATCTATGTAGCATCTTGGGAGCGTGAAGTCTGCAAGCTTCTTTAGTTATTCACTCCACGACTCCCACTCCACGACTCTCTAGAACCTTCCGACCGTTGCTAAGGAATTTTGTAAGTCTGAATCCACGCTTGCTTAGAAGGTCTATAAGTTGCTGTGACATTCGAATTGATTCCGTTTCTGTCTCGACGGACTTTAAGACGTCATCTAATATAGTATAGTGTACAGTGTCGATAGGTCGTAACTCTTGATTCTATCTGTCGCTGTCAGTCTCAGTCTCAGGGTGTTAAGCAAGTCTTCCTTTAGCCACTTCTAGATTGTTCTGTAGCGTTGTGAATTCGGCTTTCCATAATAAGCACGTTTCATAATGGCCTAAGTCTTCCCTGTACTTCGTGTGAAGGTGTTGCATCGCTCTTTCATCTTCTACGGATCGTTGTTCATGTATAGCTTATTTGGTACCAAATGACCCCGTCTTCCACCACCGCTCCAGTTGGTTATTTAGCTGCTCGTCGATGGTAACGTTAGCGTGTCATGTGTTCCTCGCTTAGCTCCAGCTACGGTCCATCCAAAGTCTGTGCGAACTGCGTATGGGTGTCCCTTTGGTCCTTTTCTGTACTCGTGCTGCAACATCGCCTCCTGGACACTCCAACCAAAAGGTCCACTTAATTCGTTGATACCGCTGGGATTTCAAGGTCGTTGAGGTGTGTCCGACGTTGTTTGTCCTTTTCCTTTCTGATTTGTCCTTTTCCTTTCTGATTTGTCTTGGTAGAATGTTCAGCCTTGGAACTGTCCATGCGCTCGATGTTAACTGTCTTGTCTACTGCACCTTTTCCCTGTTGGCGTCACTTGAATGTTTACTAATCGTGAAATCCTCTGAACTCCATCATTTTCTACATTTCCGAGCATAAGACGATGTTCGGTGCCATCTACTCCATCTGAGGTTGTCAGCGATATCTTCACAAAACAAGGTGTCTGAACTTCCAGTATCTAGAATTGCGTATGTGTCAAATGGTCCCGCCCCGCTAACACCTATCATTACGGGGACGATCTGGAAATAGACTGTTTCCTTGGATGATAGTGATGATTCGATACTCGTGCTGGCCGCATTTACGTGACCTTTGGCGTTCGCCGAAACACTTGGTGCATTTGTTGCTCTCGGGGCTCTTCGTGCGCTCGGTTGGTTGACTGAGTCTTGAGTTACAGTGACGCTTGGTTCTCTTGGTTTTATGTCCTTGGTTGCGTGTAGCAAGCTATGATGAATTCTGTTGAAATTTTCAACTTTGCGACGATTCTTTGAACTACAATCTTTAGCTCTGTGGCCGGCCTTTAAGCAGTTAGAGCACAATGCTCCTTTGTTTACGATTTCTTGACGTGCATAGACAGACCACTTGATGAAGTCATCACATTGATATACAGAATGTGATCTTCGGCAGCATGGGCAAGATCTTGTTCCCTTACCATTATTACTTGACTCGGGGTCTTGGTTGGCGCTTGTAGTAAGAGTGAAGTGTGCTTCACGATCCCTTGATGGTCATTGATACGAAGTGAAGGTGCTTTCTTTAGTTGAGATATAACTGCTGTCACAATCTTGCCAGCATCAGCAAATCTGCCTTTCAGAATCCTCAAGCCTATTGAATAATTCATTCCATCTTCACCAAAATACATTGTAATACAATGGTGCTGGAATTGGAACCTTCAATTACCAGGTGGGTAGGCGGTGGTAATTGCTGGTTTGCCTGTGGCAAATCAGTCTTTTCCCTTATTCCTCCTCGACAAAATGGAAAAATTGCGCAATACTACTCATATATGGATTTGATGACATGTCAATAACTTCATGTGGGCTCTCATGCAAACAAACAAATAGTTTTGCGAGTGAACAAAAGGAAAAACCTTTCTGGTCCAAGATAGGAAATAGATAGGCCTGCCTCACCGTATATTAGAAGTGATTGTTTCTGAAGAAGTTCTAGCTTTATAGTCGTTTCGTAAACAAAACTAAATAGGGCGAGTCTTGAAGTTGTTATAAAGGATTTTGGTCGAAGAATATGGCCAGTGAAACAATAGAGTTCGCCGAGTACGATCGCCGAGGAGGGATAGGCCTTATCATTTTACTGTTTAAAGTGCTAGTCTTACGAAAATATTAATGACGCAAAAAAATCCCCGATTTTGTATATGCTCAAATAGGTTATAATGTTCACCAATAAACAATAATTGGTTCGAAAAAGAATCTTTTCCCGTCTGAATTCTACTTCCGAAAATTGGTAAAAGCTCCTCAGCCATTTCTATGAGCAGCGATTTCGTCGTTGCACTTTTATTTATCTGTGACGTCATATGCGCAACTGGCATCCTTTTTATCCACACTGACTCTACAACATTCTCTGTAAGAGGGCATGACTTGGTTTAAGGCTTGTTTTTAAATCAAAAATAGTCGAAATTTAGTTGCAATTACACATTGTAAAAAGCCGCGAATTTTGAAGGGTGGCGCGTATGACGTCACTTCCTTCGAATTACTAAAAGTTGCCAGGAACGCGATCGCTTAATGGCGGACTCAGTTGGCCAAACTTTACCGGCTAAATGCAACATCTTCCCAGTCTCGTATCGAAAAAGAATTTAGTTTTATATGGTACAATTTCCAGGGATGGTGTCATTTTCGTAAGACTAGCACTTTAAATGAATCCTTTTAGATCGGCCTGCAATACAATAAAAATCAAGCGTTACAGAGTGAACTTTATTCCACGGCTTTGATCGATATCAAACTCGGTCAAAAACTCAAAGCTTTGTTGACCCGAATTAAAGACACTCTGAATAATATAACAAAGGAATTTGTAGAAAAAGCTGGTCTTATTTTGGCGAGTAAATAAAAAAAATTTCTGAGTGAAATACACTCACTCGTGTTCACACTGCGTTGTTGACTCCTCGGCTTCGGCGTAATGTCTGGTCAATTTCGTCTTGTCGATTGGTCTGACATGAATTACGCAATGCCTTACGCAACACGGTTTCTTCCAGGCAACCCAGTTTACGTTCATTATTCGTCTTGTTCATCCCAAAGCTTCTGTATTTTCTGGTAATAGTACTAATAATACTAAATGCTGGCCATTGAGAAAACATCTTTAAAATAATTTCTATGTAAACCATGAGTACAATAATGATGCTTTTTTGGGCTACTGCCTCGAATAGACGTAGCCATTATGTCATCGGGTTACGAGTGCATCCGTCCGATATGAACAAAATCTTTCAAAAGAATCCTCGCTCAGTTTTAATTGCCGTAATAAATGTAATACTGCTAATTGGATGAGTCAGCAACATGTCTATGTGAATTATATAGCAGAAAAATAAGATTTTTTTTAGACACCAGTTTTTATTGTATGGTATTGTCTTGTATGATGCTCTGACAAAAAAAAATAGTAGTATTAGATGCGCTGAATGACAGTTTATGACAAATATCAGAGCCGGATCTGTGACACGTTCCTTAGTGGTTTTCCTTTCGCTTTTTCTCTAGATGTCCATATGTTCACGGTCTTGAATGTGACTTGTGTGGTAAGCTCTGTTTACATCCCTACAATCAAGAGCAACAAACAGGTGATCATACATTTTTTTCTAATGACCTCTATGTTATTGACTCGGAAAGATAAAAACATACAGCATGCTATTTTCCAGGATTAAGTACAGCATATATAGCATCCAAGCCTTTGCTGCGGACCTCTGTGTGGTTGGCCGAGGGTGACTGGAGGGGGTGGAGGAAAAATTGAAGGACTCTTCTTAAGTTTTCCCTCCCTTACTACATGCCCTCATCCCTCCCCTCACTCAAAAGAAAGCTCCTGGGTAGTGAAAAGACAGTTAAGATTCAATTCCCTTTTCTGGCCAGTGGCTGTTAATTAAACTATAACGAAATCTGTGTAACATTATACTAAGTTAAAATTATTATTATTTCCTTAATAGATCATAGAATAGAGTGCATCGGAAAACATGAAAGGTGTATGGAATATTCATTTGCTGTACAAAGGTAAATAAATATATATAYTTGTTTTAATTTGAGTAGATCGATTATTTCTGTTAAAGTTATAATGTAAGCTACTCTGCTTCTCATAATAAATATACTTCAGCAGTGTGCCACTTGCTCAAACTCTTGTTCATGATAGTAATGATGGTGGTGGTGGTGGTGAAGACGGTTAAAAGAATAATGTGACCGAATTCCAGCTGTAGCTTAAGAAGTTATTTAAATATGTTTGGTGTAATCATTAGTATGTAAGCTGGATAGTATGTAGCCTCTTAAACTAGATTGATTCCTTTTACTGGATATTCCTTTTACCTATGGTAGACCAGTCTTAAATTACCATCGTTCTTACTACTTTTTTTCTGATTACCCCGCTACAAATGGCGGAAAAGTTGCGCGCAGGCTTCCTTAGCTTCGGGTAATCAAAAGAGACCCCTTCCAGCTGTACCTGTCAAGCTTAAGGTTACTGTTTACCTTCAGACCTTCAACAAAACCCTATAAACTATATATTGTTTTAAAGGTCAAATGCTAAAGATTTCGAAACTAACATTATGAAATGCGACTTTCTAATTTGAAACGCTACCGGAGCCTTAAGAGCAATTGTCTGTAAGCGTCGGCTGGGCCATGAAGGATAGAAAAATCGAAAATTTTCAAAACTCATTCGAAGAATACCCTCAAAGCCCTTATCACAAAAATATAACTTTTAGTTTCATCCGATCTTTTTTTGGCGAGTTATCGAGCATTTTATGATTTGACGTTCATCGACCGATTTTAACGGCTCGAGAAGGCCGATTTTAAACAGCTCTATACGACAAATAAACAAATACGAAACTTAGTCAATGCTTGTTTTCTCAATAAAGAATTATGTCTTCGAAGTATTCCAGTCGCTTTATCAAGTATTTCGAAAACTGGAATTTTTTCGGGTTTTTTTTACTTACCCCTCTTTCGACCAACTTTGCCGTAGTCAAAA